GAAAATAAATTAGTCATGAAGTCAGAAAACAAAGTCTATGACCTTTCTGAAGCCAGTGTTACAGTCGAAGATGAGATGGAGACACGTAAGACGAAGCTGCCTAGTGCCTTGCCAACACATCTGCTCTGGGAAGCATTTTTCATTTTGATCAGAAGCAGCTAACTTGGACTTGGTGACATCTACTGACTCTCACTCCAGGGAAGGTAAATCAGGACTCAGGCTTGTATTTGTATACAAAATGCTGGATTCTTATCTCCATTTCCAATGTACGTTGCCAAGCTCTTCTAAAACTGCCTGTTGTCTGTGGTTTTGGGCAGAATGATAGATGTGTTCCAGATCTGAGATCACAGTTTGGCCTCTTAAGTTTCATGTGTGTTGTGTGCTTTCATTATTCTTTTTTCCTTGTGACACTCAACAAAGATTTCAGAAAAAAAGAGTTTGTCTCTGAGGAAATGAGGGAATGCCTTGTAAGGACTAGCGGGGGAGACTGGGAGCCCTGGCTTTTGCCGGATGACTTTCTGTGTGACCATAGTTTATCCACCCCAGGAACTGATGTAGTGTGATTCCTGTGGGATTAAGATGAAGCTTTGGGAATGTTAGAAATGTTAGTTTGGGATCTTCAAAAGCATGAAGGAGGTGATGAAAATCGAAAAGGATAGTGTCGTTTGAAGTGGGAACGCAGAAGAATAAAGTGAGAGGGGAACGCTTTTGGGAGGGTCAGATTACAAAAGCTTGTGCTCAGTACCCACCATGACATTTCTGGTTCCTATTCTGTAATTCAGAACAGCTGTGTCTTACAGAAATAGACAATCGCTGGATGTCCACCAGGCACCAAGGCTTTGCTGCAGACAATTATCATCCGATGAATGAGCTGCGTCTCGGGCTGGGCTCAGACAATGGCCCTGCCATCCCATGGGGAAGGCACTGATGCTCTCCAGTTCCTCTGCTATCGCTCTGGCAGAGGCCCTCACACGGTCTCCGCTCTGCCCACGAGCACGTAGCCATCGGTAGTTTCTGCAGCAGTAGTTGGGTAAGGATGTTGGGTGACTGCAGTCTCATTGGCTTGGTGGCTCAGCAATCTGTGGTGGCTGAAAAGCCAGATGCATAAACTGCATCTCGTGCTGTGCCCTCTCCAGATGGTTGGATGTGCCCTCCGGTGGCCGCTGTAGCTGGGGCAGATCTGCCTGAGGCTGACGGTAGCCAAAGGTTGAAACTGTTAGATGGCCATCAGGGTGTGTGCTCAGGGAGCCCGAGGGAGCGGTGCTTACCCACTGTACGGTGCGGTGCATGGAGCCGCAGAGGGTGTGCCGCAGGAGGAGCTCGGCCGCGATGATTTGTGGATCAGCAGGATGGAGCCGTGTTGCGATGACGTGGGCTGGCTTTTGCATAGCAGGCGCTAACAGACTTTGCAAGGCTGGGAACTCCTTAAAGCTGCATGAATGAGTTTGACGATTACTTGCCAAAATATGCAGATTATTCTTTCTCATATCGTGCATTGGTTTAATTAGAGATTCAGGGAACCACCTGACTTCCCCTACAAATCCTGCCGGCTATATCAGCAGGTAACCCTCTCTGCACCACGGCTAGCAAAACTGCAGGCTGCTTCTTACTGTTTGTGTTACAGCAGTTTTCAAAATCCCCTTTTAGGATTGGGCCCCATTTGCTCAGCAATAAGAACTTCACAGTGTTGCTGTTACAAAGCAAGACGCATCTCACAGATGCTTAGCTTGTCTTTAGCTGGGGGTTTTGGATGTATTCTGTGTGCTTACTGTGCTGACTTGGAACTTGCTCAGGACAGAAGAATTCTAAGATAAGCAGAGAGGGACAGAGGAAGAAAATAAAGCCTTTGTTTTTCTTACGTAGCACCCGTCTGTGCCAGCCTGAATTCTAAACAGCAACTTTAAATAGAAATGCATGTTTTGCCTTGATTGAGATATCCCAGAAAAATAAACCAAAGTTATCCCAAGTTGGTGAACTACCATAGCTTGGTGAAAGTCTCTTTACAGCCTTCCACCATGCTTTGAATTCCTCAGGATTTACCCAGCCTTCTTCATCGCCCTCTGTAAATGCTGAATCACTGTAGGACATCTAACAAGATTTAATGCGTTGGCTGCCTTCGGCTCAGGAGCTGTGATTTTGGGATGGCCTCTGTGTGCTTTCTTCTCCTGTGCAGCAACATAATTTTAGGTTTACTAAAAAAACCAGGCTCCCCTAGTGGGGCACGTGGAGGTGCAGTGCTGTACAAGTGCCATGTAATCACTTGCACGCCTGTGTGGATGTGTTGCACAGGCGTCTGAACGTGTATGTCCCGTGTCTGATTACCTCCGCTTCGAAACAAACATTGCAGCAGCTGTGTTGTGTGGGAGCCTGGAGCGTTGCATTTCCACAGGTTGGTTGGTCATTGTGTGCCTGGCACAAG